CATATTGTTTAATAATACTACTTGATTTTAATCATTTTTAAATTTAAAATTTATAATCAGATATAATAATAAATTTTGAGATAATCCTCAAATATTTTACATCAAAATTATCTATCATAATACAATTTTGAAGGTGCACCTTACCTCTACAGCTACAAATGCATCCATATGCCTACTGGACCCTTGTAAGTTTGACTCTTATTCTTTGACTTGTTTATAGAGTGCTTGGGGTCCAAGCAAACAAGCCTAGGGCAATGCTTTTTGGATGGAGACACGGGTGAACTTGTTGAAACTGGACAATTGCTTAGAAAATGAAAAACCAGAACAACAAAAAGTACTGCATCTTTGTAAATATCGCAGAGTGATCATTTCGAGTGAAATGTCTTTGGTATTTGTGACTAGTTTTTGGCAATCTAAATTGGAAATCACTAATCTGGATCAGGAATTAGCAGGGAATGAATCCGTTTTGAAGAGGGTAAAGGTCCCAGCCCCGTCCCACCTAAAATCCTTTATTTCATTTTTTTCCCTTAATTTATCTAATATTTTCTTAAGTCTGTCGTAAATCCCACCCATTAACCCCTATTTTTAAATTTTTTAAATATTTTTGTGAATTGCTGATTCGGATTTATCCAAATCGGTCTTGATCACCGATCTAGTGATTTGGCATGATCCGTGGGGGTTGACAATCGACCCATCAATTCGGATTTTGAAACACTGCTTGTGATTATTTGATTCTATACATCGAAATCCATGGTTTGATTAGCTAATTTATTCCAATATATACATGTTTGTGTTTTCCTAGATATCCTTGTTTTCTAGTGGAAAATTGAGCCAAATATCTAACTTATTAAACAAAATATTAAGAAAAATATACATTTGTACCATATTTAAATATAAATATGGTAATTTACCTAGGGTCTGAAATATACTAAAATTTATGATGAGGTTCATTGGGCCAATGTTCCAAACATCACATTGTTGCTTTTTTTGCCTTTTCTATTGTTTTCAATTTTTCTCCTAAGTACAGTGCTCCAAACATTAGATGGATTTTTATTATTTTTTTAATTCTTTTTGTGAAGCATATGAATTGGATAGAGGTTGCCAGCCTTAGACCTTTTGATTTGCATGAACATTATGGAAGCCAACGGTACGAGATTTGGAATCTGGGACTACTTGGATTGCACAATATTCACACAAGCCAAGAGGTCTAAGGTCTAGAAACTCAAACTAATCCCTAAATGGAAATTCACAATTCATGGACCAATCTGAGGTTCCATACCTCAACCACTTGGCT